GACCCCATACAGAGTAAACTGAGAGCCAATCATTGCTTCTATGTGATTGCTCGACAATGTTTTGCAGAAGCAGTACACAAAGGGCAACTCAAAGGGGAAGCCAAGGCAATCAGAGTGCCACGTGGTAGGCATGATAAAATCCCACCGCAAGCCTTCTCCTTTCACACGGACGTCCGTCATGTCCTAGTCGAACCCGGTATGCGGATTGTAGGGGAAGCTGCGTGGAGGAGTTGTCGACAGCTGCAAGTGGTCCACCTACCAGACACGGTAGTCAGTCTGCTGCATGGTGCCTTCAGCCGATGCCGAGTCTTACGAGTAGTGACTGCCCCTGGCTGCCAACACTTCGGCACTAAGGTATTCGAGGAGTGTTGCTCCCTAACGCAAATAGGAGTGACTCAGTGCCCTGGCAATATACTCGCCCCCCAAGCACAATTGCGGCCCCGTGTGTTTCAAGGATGCACGGCCCTGCAGCACCTCGACTTGGGTAAGTCAGGGTGCGGTCCTACACATCCGAACCGAAGTCTGCCTGACTGCTGCTTCCTGGAAGCAGGCATCGTCGCACTCTTCCTGCCGTCAGATTTTAACAGGATAGGGACAGCCGCGTGCGTGAGCTGCCAGCAGCTGCAAACTGTGGATTTGTCCCAAACGTGTATCAGTGAACTTTTGGGCTCAACTTTTGCGTACTGCTCGCAGCTGCAACAACTCAGCCTTCCCCAAAATTTACGAATCATTGAGCAAGAAGCCTTTCTCAAATGTACCTCGCTGCAAGAAGTCTGCATCCCACCATCCCTACTTTACATTGCGAGGCGTGCTTTTGCAGGTTGCGCGCAGCTTCGAGCAGTTCGTAAAAAAGGGAAAAGCAAAACATGGCGAGGTACCTATGCCCGGCTCAATGCTTTTGACAAATGTGAGCATTTAGACAAGCCCCAGTGGCTCCGATTCCTGCCGCCAAATGCCAACGACCAATGGAGAGAAGACTTCCAAGAAGCCATACCCTAGACTGGCAACACTCTGACGACAGTGGGGATGGACTGCTACTCTGCTGTTTCGATTTTGCGAGCCAGGCCAAAGAAAGCTCAGGCAAAGCCATCATTTCGGCCTCACCATCAACATTTCAGTGAGCCTACAGGAATGAGAGCCTTAGCTTTCGCTCCCAAGAGGCGGGTGGTAGAGAATGGTAATGGAAGGTTGCCAGGGGGAACCTTAGTTCTCTTTGCAGCGGCCACGCCATGACCATTGCTGTACAAAGAGGCACAAGTACCATGCTAGGATAGGTCCACGTTTCACTGGTTTCACACGGGCCTTGCACGCAACAGGAGAATGCTCGCACGTTAGCACCTCTCTTTCTTTCAGGAACAGAGTGTACCGCTTTGGCACTCCTTGAATGCTAAGAGGAGACCTCCCTTCGGGGGGGATGGCATCACCCTAGTCAGCAAACTCCATTCGTTTGCCTCTGCCTCTACTGTCTGACCATCGATATGCCTCTCGCCTCGTTCGTGCAATCAGGTGAAAGGGTTGTGCAACGAGATGGGACTTTTCCACGGCACGCTTGGCAGGGCAACAACTGATTTCCCTGGGCAAGAATCAGACCTGCTGACAACAAACAATGCAGCTCCTGCAAAGCACCCAATTGTCACTTTCGCCACTCGATGCAGTGGCCTTTTGGTCACAGTTTTGTGGGTGGGGCGAAGCCCCTTTGATTGGCTCCGTTGCACTCCGCTCTTACGCTGACCTTACCGACCGACTTTCGTAGTGAATTCAGGCCCATAGTTAGTTCACAGTCAGCTTTTTTCACTTGTCTCACCTCCGTACAGAGGAAACACTTCTAGATGAGGGGGAACCGGCCTCTGGCCTTTGGTGGTGTTTTGGGTTTTTGTTTGGTGGGTTTTTGTTTGGTTTTGGGGTTGCTTGTGTTCTCTTCCCCCTCATCATGCGGTGTTTCCTTTCCCTTCAATGATGACCTGGGCACTCCGCCCACACGGCGTCCGCACTCGTGGAAAAAAAAGTGTTTTTGCTCCTAGTAGCGATGCCAGGAGCCCCCAATAGCGATGCCAGGAGCCCCTAGTAGCGTGTTTGCTCCTAGTAGTAAGGCCAGGAGCCCCTAGTAGTGTCTTCGCTCCTAGTAGCGATGCCAGGAGCCCCATAGCGTCCTTGCTCCTAGTAGTAAAGCCAGTAGCCCCGAGTAGTGTTTTTGCTCCTAGTAGCGATGCCAGGAGCCCCTAGTAGCGTCCTTTCTCCTAGTAGTAAGGCCAGGAGCCCCTAGTAGTGTCTTTGCTCCTAGTAGCGATGCCAGGAGCCCCTAGTAGCGTCCTTGCTCCTAGTA